AGGAACCTCTGCACGTGGATGGGGAGCAGAGTCCTGGCTTTGGTGGGTAGGGAACAACGCGGGGCAGCCCAACAGCTTCGGTCGGAAATGGGCAAAATCCCCTTGTGCAAAGTCCATCCTTGCTTCTGTCCAGCAACCTCCTTGCAGTCAGGGCAGGTTTTGTAACAGCGTGGCTGAACCGAGGCTCGGGGCACACCGTAAATCTCTGGAGTCGTAAAACAAACCGGGTTTCAAAGCGCTTGCTTGCGCTGTGGTTAATCTCCTGCACGCTTAAAGTATTGCCCGAGCTGCTCGAAGCCCAGGCAGGGAGGTGAGGAGAGGCTGTCACCTTGGGCAGGACGTATCTAAACATGAGATGAGGTCATGTTTACATCATGTTTATGGCTATGGCGAAGCACAGATATGTTGCAGTGTTGTGATTGCTTTTGTAGATGGGTTCAAATTGTCTCTTAATCACATTAAAGAAATCAGATTATGAGCTCGCTGCCGTAGCACCATTCTGCTAAGATGATTATGAACAATTCGGTCCTGTCTACAAACATCTTAATGAAATGGGGAAACTACTCAACACAGCTCAATTTGCACTGTAGAAACGACTCAGTCTGTCGCCTCCTGCTCCAGTCACTGGGCAACATTAGCCCCGTGGCTCTAGTGACGTCTCAAAGCATCAAAGACCACCCCATAGTGACCCGATGAGCACAGTGCTCATCCTCCCTGCTCCCAAGCAACAGGCAGAGCCTTGAGCCCTTTCCTGTCTCTGGGATGCGGATGGGGCTGGGGGCTCCAAAGCCGACTAGATCCAATGCACCTCTTCCTTCTTCCCTGGATCTTGGGGTGGCCGGAGCTGAAGGGCACACGCATTGTTTGCAGGCTCATCCCTGGGTCCCCTGCTCCCCTCTGTGGCTCTGTCCCTACCGGAGCTGGGCAATGAGACAGGGCTCCCATAGAGCCCGAGCACCTTCTAGACCCTTCTAACTGGGCAAAGGCACCGCAGCTTTGGACTTTAATAGGTATTAAGGAGGAGAAGGCAACTTTTGGACTGCTCTCCAGGCGCGAGCGTGCCGTGCCATTTGCATAGGACGCACGTCCGCGGGATTTATGTGCGTCCCTCTCCAGAGCGGGATCCGAGCACGGCGCTGCTCGCTCCCTGCACGGGAAGCGCCGCTTATCCCGCTTATAATATTCAACTGATTCCTATAACCCCCACCCACCCCAGGATTAATATGAGAACTATTTTTCACATTGAAACCGAAATAGTACAAAATATGGGCTTGCTGTAATTGTTGTTAGATTATGTGTCACCCTGATAAGATGTAACAAATATTTTCCTACACAGCTGGGCCCGTTTGCCTGGGTGTAATGGATGGAGAAACTTCTCATAGTGTGCAGGCAATCGCTCGTAAAAACTTCGCTTAGAAGATTAATGCAATAAGTGCAACCTTTGGGGGAAATAGGAAGAAAAGAATTAAAATAATGGCTTGTTTTTCCACATTTAATATTAATACCCGACCTCCTTTGGTGGGACTGCACTTTGCAGCACCTGCCTTCCCACCTCCAAGAGCAGTTTTGTGTCATTTAAGTCTTCCTATTTTTTAAAGATCCTTCCTCAATACCCCTGTGCATGGTGCAGTTATTCTTCCAGGAGAACTATTTCTATCAGTAATATGAAAGACTATTTTCATGGGCAAAGCTTTGACACCAATAAGTCTGTTGGGTGTCACTTAATAGGCCAGATAAACATTGGCTCGCCACTTAGCGCAGAAGGATTCTCCTTTTATATCACAGCTTTATGTCTTTCGTGGACACTTTATGGCTCTCGGAGGGATTCCACCCTTGGGAGAGGCTCTGGCGTGCGGTCACGGAGGTGCCAGCGTCTCCTCGGTGCTGCCCCAACCCAGTTAAATCCTCTCACGTGCTCACCCCTTGCTCCTAGGAGCTGATTGGCACCAAGTCCTTGAGTAGCAGAACGGAGGGTTAATTAGGAGCCCGTCAAAGGGTGTTAACAACCCCGCATGAGTGTTTTGTAGACCCAAGTCTGCCCATTGAAAGGATTGTTGCCCCTTTCAGGGGGTGGTTTGGTACCAGCTGCTGCCCTGCTGTGGGGCTGCAGACCATAGGCACCCTCTTTGAATATTTTTCCCAACGTTGGGAAAAATAAGTAAGGTAATAAGAAGTATATTATTTTATATTTTTCCCAACGTTGGGAAAAATACCAAACCAGCCTCATTTCTGCTTTTCTTTTCTTTTCTTTTCTTTTCTTTTCTTTTCTTTTCTTTTCTTTTCTTTTCTTTTCTTTTCTTTTCTTTTCTTTTCTTTTCTTTTCTTTTNCTTTTCTTTTCTTTTCTTTTCTTTTCTTTTCTTTTCTTTTCTTTTCTTTTCTTTTCTTTTCTTTTCTTTTCTTTTCTTTTCTTTTCTTTTCTTTTCTGTCTCTTTCCCTTTCTCTCTCCCTCCACGTGTATTTTAAGGTCTTGTTTCGTTGCAGAAGGACACTCGGGTACCTGGAGTGGCTCTCCGGTGACAGGCACCATCAGCCAGGCGAGGCAGCCGCGAAGCCGGGTCAGACCCGAACTGCCGGTTTCCTCCCGAGGTCTCTCGCTGCTGCCTGGGGTCTGGCAGGCTGCACAGGTTGAGTTTTACAGAGCAGCCGGTGCTCTTAGTGCTCATAGGAAATAATTCTTCCCAATTTTACAGCTTGATTTTCTTCTTTTGTTTGCACAGAGCGTTTTGCAAGGAAATAGTTGTTTTGCCAGAAGAGAAGCCGGGTTTGTGCGGGCTCCTGCCTTGGGTGGGCAGCAGGAACTGGGGCTGCGGGGCGCGGGAGGCAGCAGCTCCGGCTGCATCTCACCGCTCTCCTGCTGCTGCCGGAGCAGAAAGCAGATTTATCAGCAAGGGGCCGGTGCTGTCAAACCAGTGGCACCTGGACTAGCTCCGACATGCAGAATTATTCAGGGCTTATTCAAACCGCTTTCTAAATTCATCAGCTGGATGTTTCAGAAAACTGAAGGAAAAATGGTTCCTATATTCTGAAATAGCTACATTCATCACTGCCAAAAAGGACTTCCGAGCTGCAACAAGAAAGAAATAAAGTTAACTTTTGACCATGCAGCAGCCTGTTCAGCGAGGCACTTTCCATCGTGTCACAGCACTGGAACAGAACGTGCCAAACCCTGCAGAAGTTAGAATATACTTTAGAAATGCTCTGGAAATTGCTGTGATGATGTAAATATAATCTCTAAATATTTCAGGCTGCAGGAGAACTCTGCTTAGGTTTGAAAGCAGGATTGGCTCCTTGGCCAGAAATATTGAAAGATAACTCCCCAAATCATTTATTAATTACCTCTGCTGCTACTGTTTGGTTGCAGATGTAGGGAAAGGTTTGTTTGAAGGACAGAAGCTGATGAGAGGTGCATGACAGGCACTGAAATCTACTTTGAAGAAGGGGACAGGTTTTTTACATGACTGAAATGTGCCCAGTGATGAGAACAACCCTCCGAATCACCCGCGTTCCCTCCAGCTCTGCCCTTTCCCTGGCAGCCTCTGCTGGCCAGGCTGCGTCTTTTGGAAATGAAAAATCATTAATAGTTCTTACAACAACCCAAGGAAACGATCCCAGACCGCACCAGGGCAAGGACACCGGCTCTTAGCAGCTGGAGTGTTTTCCCAAGGAGCTGATGACTGAGCTTGGGTGCCTCAGTGTTTGCAGCTCAGAGTTAAGACCTAACAAGGAGGTTCTGTTACATTCGCTGCAGTGCAAGTCACATAAATGAAATATATATAAACACGCACGTCAGGATGCCGCTTGTTTTAGTGCTTCTCGCTACCGGCAACTCCTGAATGAAAAACTGTTAGGAAAGCGTGAGGAAAAACAAAGGAGTTTCTGTCCTCAAAGAAGGGGCTGGGGGAACTGCTGGTGTCTGGTTAAGAGCAGCGCTGCTCAGCTGCTGCCAGTGTGAGCACTATGACTGCTGCAGCAAAGGAGTGGGAGAGGCAGAGTAGCCGTGTGTGACAGGTGTTAAAAAGCTCCTTTATGAATGTGGATTTGTTTTTAAAGGGCTGAAAATACGGTTCTTTTTTTTTTTTTTTTTTTTTTTAGTTGCTGTGAAGGTGGAAACAACCGGGATCCTCAGGTAATTTTTTCCTTGCCTTCCTACCCTGCCTTTTGTATTAGGCTCATTTAAACAAGTGTATGAAGGTGGCCTATATCACTAAAAGTGCCAATACAGAATGGAGGCTTGGTCCTTATTAAATTTGTTTTATTGTACTTTATCCACTTATGTGGTTACATAAATTTGTATTTCAATGTTACAAGGATTTTACTCCTTAAACCTTCCACCTTTCCCACTGCTGAGGCAATCAACGTGTCAGTAACTGCACTTTACAAAAGGAAGATTGCTGGACAAGAGTGTGAGACAAAGTTAATACAGAGCAGGATTTCCACCTTTAATTCTTAAGGTTTTTTTTCCCCATTTTCCTTCTGTTAAGTTTTATTTTTCTCTATGAATATTCATTTGTTTTTATTTTGTAAACTTTTTGACCTAGGTGATTAAGAAAGTCAGGCCAGAGCAGAGTAGTGAAAAAATGCTGTGTGCTAAAGCAATTTGTATTTTGTCTGCTTTATGACGAATCCAAGAAAGGGAAATGTTACTAAGGAAGAAAGATTTTAAAATAGGCTTCACAATTACTATTACCTGTCTCTGTATTCTCCAGGGATGTCTACAGGAGGAAAAAAACACAAGCTACAAAAAAGTAAGCACTTACAGGACCTTTCCTTGCCATTTCTTCCTTTAGTTGTAGATCCATTTTTGTACTGCAGATCCACTTTATTCATACTTACTGCATGATTTCCAACTTACTTTGATGGTTTCTTCAGGCATCCAGGAAAAAACATGTACAAGCTTTAGGTATTCTTGAAATATTTTATTATAAAGTACTTCAGACAAACTTTTATTCAAAAAAAATCTCAACTATATAGGGAAACTATTTCAAAACAAAATTCATAAAGAAAATAAACTGTTCTTAAGCATCAACTTCAGTGAGAGCACTTTTGTAACAAAACCTAGAGGCAAACAGAACTGGTGGGTCCAGAGCTATCCATTTCATACATACTGATTAAAGGAGAGCAAGGTGTTACAGCCATCACGGAGCATCTTATTGTACACAAAAAATATAGGAACACCTGACAGCTAACTCTGTTCTCGCAAGCAGTCCAACAGTTAAATATTTTCGGTCCCCAAAGAGACAAACCATTAACAATTCTCACTGAGCTAATTAGCCTGCCTTGGGGTTCAAGCCCCTTCAAAGCATCTAACTTACGAAATGCTTTTCATTTCATGTACTTCTCCTGTTGATCAGCCAAGATTTTTGCTGAGGATTTGGCGTCATAGAAAAGTTCATTTATTTCTTCAATGTGCTCCTTCTCGATGCTGTCCTTCCCGTTGATCTTGGCAAGCAGGTTGGCTGGGGTCAGCAGCTGCACAGCGTACCTGGAAGGAAGGGGGACAATTCAGCGCGTTCCACTGATCGACTGCATGGATGGTTAGGAAATCTCCTAGGACATATATGGGTCTTTATCAGCAGCACAAGCATCAAGATCCTCAACCATGTACCCTTCTTAAATGAGGAAATGAGAGGATTATCTTTATTTTTTCATGACAACACTGTTCTAACAGATCACACTTCCAGGCAGGAATTACCCTACTGTGCCTCTAGACCCAGTCAGACTCAACATACAACGGAAAAAATCCTAACGGACTCAACCTACCTCAAGGTTGTTTTTGTACCAATTTCTCCCAGGTGGTTTAGAGCTTCTTCGCTAATATTAATTCCTTCTGTCTGAGCACGAAGTTTAATGATCTGTTGGGATAAATGAATAAAGGAACATGCAAAAATCAGGTAACAGTCCAAATAATGAGGGTACTATACTAAGTTTATTGTTTGGAAATTCCATCAGCTTAGAGATGAGATAAGGGAAGAGACAGAGCTACCTTCCTGTTGTTTACCACCAAACTAAAGTAGATTTATAGAATGTTAAGTCTTTGAATAGATAATATGTAACATTGACAAACTGATCATTATACGAAGTGGTTGAAATAGCACGACTGGATTCCTGTCCCCTCAAGACACTCCTGCTAAGTGCAGCTACTAATGCGAAGCAGAGTGTGGAAGCTTGAAGAAGGAAAAGCAGGAAGCGGTGGCCCTGCACGCCGAGCTGCTCCAGCTTCCCGATCGTGTTGTGCAGAGCAGCCCTCAGCAAGCCCTGCAAAAGGCTCTTTCCTCTGCAGCTCCCAACATGCTTTTTATTCAGCTGACAAACAAGACGGTAAAATAAATCAAAAAGTTACTTTCTAAGATTCACCTACCCCGGCAAGAAGAAAAAAATCACTTGGAGGAATCTAATCTTTCAAGAACAGTCTCAGCCTTGTACCGGTTTGAAGATCTTTTACAAAGTTGGAGAGCAAGATATCACCAATAAGCTGGAGCATATAAAGCTATAACAGAAGTGGCACAAGTCTCTCGGTAGGCCGTATTACCAGCTGAGTGATAAGGGGCAGACTGGATAATGATGTTGTGTTGTAGTGCTGAGATAACTCTGCAACTGCAAGCCTCATATAATACAGGTATTTTTCACTTTGGCAGCTTTGTAAACAAGATATCAAGAAGCACTCGTTTAAATTAAACCCATAAAAATGCGCTAACATAGGCAGGGTAGGGAGCGGAGTAAAAGCGAGAGCTATGAAATGGCAGAAAGTTGGGCTAAGATATTAATACCGAATATGGTAAAAGCTATTTCAAATTGTAATTTAAAACTGAAGATCTTTTCCCATCTTCTGTATCAACCAAACATCGCTTCCCCTTCATTTAGATGCTGTTACTTTGCGCTTGCTTCCTGCTATAAATAAGGCACCTTGAACACCCCTTATTTGAAGAGCTTTAGATAATATTTTTTATCTAGTAACTTCATAGAACCTTGCAGAAGGACCAGAGCCCAAGACATGAACTCAGCAGACAGACAGACAAACCAGCTACTGTGGAAAGCAGCCTTTACCAGGTGAACACACTGGTAACAAAAGCTCCAGTTACAACCTCTACTATTTAACAGCAGGCACATATGCAAAGAAGTTTAACAATATCTGATTAGAATTTCATGTAAAAATGATTTTTCTCCCCATTCTGGTGCACTAAGCCAACTGTAGGTCCTGCACTCTCCAGCCAGTGCTATGCAATGTAATTCCTACATTATTAGTACAGAGAGAAGTGTTTTGAGCAAGTTATCAACAGTCTTTGAGCAGGTACACGGGCAGTTCCTGTGCTAAAAATCAAACTACCTGTGGCATCCAGGGCTAAGAGTCTCACTTATACAGAAACATTCCTGCTAGAAGTGAAAACTTCTAGCATGAAAAGGAAATCTGTGCAAAAATATAAGAACATCTATAAATTTATTTTTCTTCCTTTCTCCCCATGGCTGTATTTAGCTACAATTCAAGTGCAACAGCTCTCCTCCACTCTGCAGGGAAAAGTCATTTGAAAGCCTTAATTTAAGGGTAGACTATGGGAACATGATTTATGGGACAAAATGTCTGGAGTATTTTAGCTTTAAAAAAAGGCTATTGCAAACAAATGCTTCCCTCACTGGTGAAGAACGGTGGAAATCGCAACATTTACCCAACAACATCTATGTTCAGAAATGAGCTCTTTAACAAGCTATTATCTGGCATGATAACACAGCACACGAGCTAAGTATTATATATATAATATATATGTGTGTGTGTGTGTGTGTATAATATATATATGAAAGCTTAACAAAGTAAATCAGAGTACATATTCCTACTATTCTAACTACTCAAAATCAAAACACATTTTGGGGATATCTGGACAACAATCTTTAAAATCTCTGGGCTTTCAGTGAAAGTTACCCTTTAAAACTGGCTTTGTACACAGACAAAACATCACCTTATTACTAAATCCCTTGGCTCCTTCCACTGCAATCTCTACTATAGTAGTTTTAAAGTGTCCTTTAGGTACAGAAAATCTTCCTGAGCCTGGCTGGCGAGAGCAGGGCGTGCAAAGCTCCTGGAGCCACGAGAAATGAAGCCTTGCCACTCCGCGGGTACTCGATAAACCATGGCTTCACCTTGGCACTTATCCAGCAGCAGGAGACTATTATCTTGTGACAAGGCTCTCCTCCATTGACACTATCTCTTAAATAATACAAAGAATTGACATGATAAACCGTGATGGCTCCTGCATTGTGTCACTTCCCAGCATTGAGACGCTAATGAGGGGGATCTTTGCCTTGATGCATAATGGCACCCGGGCATTGCAATCGATACACAATACGCTGGGATGCCCCACAGGAAAAGTTTCAGGCATTCCCAAGTGTGTCTCTGCACCGTGCTTACACTGCCAAACCTGACTGGGAACATGCACAACATTTACCTCGCGGCTTCAGCAGACAGACTGCGTAGAAAAAGCTATAGCACTGAACAGGGGAGCAACAAATGCAGCACAGAAAGTTGTGTTCTGCAGTCCCTCTTGTTGCTTATGTGGAGAAACAACCTGAGGCCTGCGATCAGGGACCCTAAATTGTAATACTGTTTTGGCAACATCTGGAAGAGCAACTTGCAGACTCCCTGGAAGTTGTTTAAGAGAGAGGTAGGCTCAGAATTCACAGTGAGAAGCCACTTTCAGCTCTGGAGAAGTTTACCAAACAAATCACTAGGTGGCTAGAAATCAGACACCAGAACAAACCGCATTTGTAAACAGTTATTTTAAATGGCCACTAAACCACCAAACATTTAGGAATTGTTGAGCTTCTGTGCACAAACCACACTGTCTATGCAGTCAAATAGCTCTGCAGTAACTGACTACAGAGGGAGGCACCAGTTATCCCTAGAGACTGGAACTCCAGGGGGGTTTTAGCAGCTCTTTTTTAAAATGTGCTATATACCTGCTTCATTTCTTGGGGCGTATACAGCATGGTTCGGATAATCATCACTCGGTCCAGCAAGTCCAGGGGTATTCCATGAGGAGATATTATATCCTCTGTGCCTCTAAAGGAGAAACCAAATAGAGATCAGATCCTATTCAGAGTTCAATGCTTTCATTTGATTAAAATCAGTAATTACCACACCTGACTAACACACCTGCTCTTTTACAATTCTCGGGTCTTCCCACCGAGGTACACTCCCCAAATACAGAGCCAGGAATCTGAACAAATGTTACTTCTTGTACTTTTAAAGGAGTCACTCAAAAAAGTTAGAGGTGGTCCTTACTTGTTGCTGCTTGCTTTCTTTTACTTTTCTCTATATTCCATTTTTCCATCTTTTATAATGTTCCAAAGCATCTTCTAACAAGGAACATGTCATTCTTAAGTTTAGCAAAATAAGTAAAAATTATATGCAATATCAGCCATTGCTCTGCTCAGTCCAACCACAGTGAGCAGTGCAGTAGTTTACTTTCCACGCAGGTAATCCAGCAAGTTGGAAGCTGGAGATCTGCACATAAAGCAGGATCTGGACTCAACACTCAAAGCAAAGGCTGCAGCTGAACTCACCAGCTCTTGCTTTTCCAAGACAACCAAGATTTGCTGGGAAATCAGAGTGAACAATATGCAGACTCCATGGTGCTTACTAAGATCATCTCAGATGAAAATGGTAAACGCTAGTAGACAGCCATGTTCCCAAAGTCAGGGACAATATTTAGGCACTTTTTTGGTCATTGTCTGAAGAATCAAAATGCCCTGAGATCATCTCCTGCTCTATTCTCCAGTAGATGGTGCTCTGTCCTCCGGAGAGATTCATTCTCTTAACAGGTCACAGAACTAATTGTACTGTACACGCAATTAATCCTTTCCCAAGCCTTTTAAGAGCTATCAGTAGGCAGAGCAGGGCATCTCCAGCTACTTGATTTAGTAGTACACAGTCAAGAACCTTGCTTTAGAAGGATTTACTTAACTTACTAATGTTAGATAAAACTATTGTATAAACATAATCCTTTCATAAATTACAGGTTTCTCGTAACACAATCAGCAGCAGATCCATGCTGATACTTCCCTTTACTCTTTTTACAATATGGCCATTTCAGGAATTGGCCAAGACAGCACCATCATATCTGCTATAAAGGCCTTATCACCTCGACTTGTAAGCAATGAATACAGAGAAGGGTTAGTATCAGGTGAGTTAGTAAGAGGAAAAGAAACTGCTGGTTACACAGCTGAGGTAAATCAGTTTAAAGAGTAGCAATCTTTGTTAATGACAGCTTGTTTAGATTGAATTTGGCCTAGACCACAAATTAGTAGCAGAAGTTAAGTAAGAGCTTAAAAGAGCCAAGAATATCTATTGAAAATATATGGTTTGGGTGCAAAATGCTGAAGTGGAGGTATGAACTGAAGTAGAGAAGAAATAACAGAGAAGGAAAGAATGAGGAGTGAGAAGAGGCTAAATTATGACAGCATCAGAGACAAAAGGCCTTCAAAGATTCCAGCTTCTTCTGTTGATACACCTAACTAAAGTTTATCAACAATATAAACCGGAATATTTACTTTCAGATATCTTACCTGATAACACAGTTTCCTCGATTAGAAGCAAAGATGACAATGGGAGAAATGGAAGACTCCAGTGCTCGGTGCAGGTATGTGAAACATTCAATATCCAACATGTGAACCTCATCCACAAAGAGTACACCTGGGACCAGCTCAGCGATGCCTTGATCAATGTATTTATTTACCACCTTATTTATCTCTCCTCGAAGTTTGTCTGTCAAAATCAAAATAAGATACGTTAGCTGTTCTGCTTGTGAACAGTATCTTTATATGTGTATGAATTACTTAAAGACAAAATGTCCCCTTAAATTTTCACGTGTTGGAATCTTACTGCCTTTCATGGCAAATCTCTGTGATGCTAAAATCCAATGGCCACTGGAAACTGACCTCAGATCTATGGTTTCACTCCTGCATTGGAGCACTCGAGTGCTCCAATGTGTCCACTCACATTGCCTGTGAAATACAGTGGTGGTAGGAAACTCTGTCAAACATCAGTCTAGCGAAGTTTCCAAGTATGGCTGAAAAGAAGATGACTAAAAGGATAAAGTATTACTCTATTTCAGCAAAACAGTTGTATTTATCCAAAAAAACAGGGCCTTGTAAGACTTCTGTGAACGCAGGGATCCCAAAGACATGGAGGATGTTATATTGGTAAGTCTGACTTTAGAATAGGCAAAGTGACCTCTGGAACAAAAGAATTACTTCAAAACAGCCACCACTTACGTATTGAAACAGACTTTGATCTGAATGTAGATTAGTCACTTATCGAAACATCTTTTTTTTCCACAGCAAAAAAGAGAATAGATTTTTCACAGTAAAAAAGAGAATAGATTTTTTTCAAAAAAAGAGAATAGATTTTTTTTTTTCTGCAGTGGGCTATAGGTGGGCAGAGCAGCTGCATATATACAGCTTTAAGCTGATAGGCAGCTGGCAGGTAGAAGTCAGTGCAAACCCAAACCAATATTGGAGTCTCTAGGAGCTGTTTTTGTACTCCAGAAAATAGAGCCTGGCTGCTTCATGTAAGAATGCAAAGGATTTTTCTCTTACTTTGTTTTGTTCCATTTGGCTTTTTGTAGGAAATGTGAACCATGCACTCTGTGATAGCAGTATTTTCAGAAGAGGGTGCCACTAGCATTCCCACCTTGTATGCAGTACGTCAAGTACCACTACAGGTGTAGAGCAATATTAGCTGCTGCAATTCTAGAAGCTAAATCACTGCTCCACAAAATTTGAAAATTTATTAATAAATGTTATGAAGGCATTCATCATTAGAGATGCTGCATGAATGACACTATTTTAATGCCTTTCTAGCGGGCAAGCATATAGGTTATGTTGGAAAAGAAATATGATTAGAATTCATACCAGTAATTTCAGTTTTCTTAGGCTTCATTAGTTGTCCCATCATAGAAAGGATGTCTTGTCCTCCCTAGGAAAAGAAAGTTACAGATCAGCTATGAGGCCTCACAGTGAAGACACCATCTGAATGAGGATGTTATAATTCAAAAGAATAATAATAAAAAGAAGCTGGTACTTTGTTTCAGCAAAGGTTGATAACTTGTCCAAGGTCCAGTTACTTCACTAATATTCTAAACGTAACTAGTTAATTAGCTACCTCTTCATCCTTGTTTAGGCTTTCTCACTTGGAGGACACAAGAGACAGGCTCACAAGAACTAACAGGGTCAGGCAAGAGAGAACTGGGATTGCCTGCTTGCACTGTAACTGCTAAATCTGCCAACACAGGCACGTTTATCCTTGATTTTTATCACGAGATTTGTTTGAAAAAGGATGTTTATTTTGAAATGTAGTAGGTTAAGGGCTTGTGATATCACTGAATTTTGTTTGTAACAGAAGTGGAGATCCCTCAAAACTGGGTTTACATTCAGATATTGCAAGCAGTTATTCTATTTTCAATCTCTTCCTGTAGTATGTGCAGAGCTCTACTGAAAAATGTTCACAAGGGAGTTTCATGAGAAATTATAAAATGCTTATGAAAGGTGGGGACTTTAACAGAATCTACAGCAAAGTCAAAAGTTAATGAATATTTATCAATGCTCTTGCAGGGCTGATTTCCCTTTCATGGCCACTTTAATCTGTGTGGAAAGGCCACTGCTCTATTCTGCAACAGGTCCTTCACACAAACAGCAAGGGACGCAGCCTAGGTTTCAAGGTAAGATCTACCGCTTTTCCTACAGTAACCTCTTTGTAATGATTTAGGATCTCCTCATTCTAACTCTCCCTTTCATCTTTGTCAAAGAGTTCTTCTGTAAAGACTTAATCTGTGGAGTCAGATACCTGAGGTCGAGCATTGGCCACATCCAAGTCATGCAGGGTGACATCCTGAATAATTTCCTTTTTCTTGTGCACATCACCTTTTGGCAAGGGAACATATTCTTCAGCTTCAAGGTCAAATTCCGTAGCGTACGTATCACACCTGCCTTGCCTCTGAGGAAGAGTAAGGAAGAGAAAACCCAGCTAGAGAATTAGATGTAACGCAAAAACCTTGAATGACACAAACTTGATAAAGGAACTTGGTTCACAATTCTGGTTGTCAATTCAGATTCTCCATTCTCTGCTTAGCAACAGGCAGATCCTGTCTGCTGATCAAAGCTCAAAAAAATAGCTGTTGAAAAATACCTGATATTTTCAGTAGGAAGAATATTCCACTCTTTTCTCCCCTCTTAACTGTATGCAATTCTTGCTAAAGGACAAATCCAGCAGATTAGCTAGAGATTGGAAAGACTGTTTGAGAGTTCTTTGTAGGTGGGTGATTTATTAGATGATACAAAATATTATGCTCATCCATTAAACAGCAAGTATTGCTGTACACTACATTTTAAATCAGATATGAAAAGAATGCTAACTAATGCACTATTCCTTTCTACATGTATATATCTTGTGGAGAAAATACCAGAAAGATAAAAGAAAGATTAAATACACTGCACATGTCAGCCTGAAAATGACTAAAGTTGCTTGGGCTTTTTTTCTCCCCTTCCCTTAAAGATGTCTTGATCTTACAGAAAGAAAACTCATCCAGGCAGCATCAGTGATAGCTTCCTTGCCAGATGACCTTAATTGTGAACAAGATGACCACGTTCTTCTGGTGCAAGAGATATTTTTCTCTTCAGATAAGGAAAACATTGTGCTCTTTTTAAAACTTTCATGTAACCGTTCCATGTAAATTAAGGTTAATAAATCAGAGGGCTTTCAGGCAAAAGGAGAGAAAAATCTGCAAGAATACATCAACCTGTGTGAAATTGCATATCTGTTTTTGTTTTTTACCTTGACAGCTCCACTGTTTGCTTCGATGTAAATAACATCACCTGTTTCCACTCGTTCCTTCTGCAAGCTTTCAAATATGCTGGGGTCCAGCTGGAAGCAAGTAAAATTAACCATTAATCAGAACTGCTCCATATTATTATGGTAATTGAGGAAAAGAAATTTAGTTTAAAGGTCCCTTCCACCAGACAAAATTATCTCCCACAATAAATCTACGTTTTTAAAAAGCTCTAACACTTGGAGTAACAATAAAGTAAAACTTACTGTAATACATGAAAGAACATGCAGAAAACTTATTTTCTAATAGAAAGTATCTGCTATACGAGAGAGATAATCTAAGTGCAAAAAAATTAATGACACTAGTCACTCTCATAAGGCTTGCCACTGTGTAATGTGGCAATGTATTCATACATTGTGGTACTTCTATTGCTTTCTAGTAAGTTTTGATTATTGCTCAGAATCAGAAGCATGAGCATTATCATGCTCAGAAGCGTGACGGTGTCTAGCAAAAGAAAGAAGCTCCTGGCATCCCTCTCTACAGAAGTGAGTATCAAGAGCTTAAAATGGCAACAAAAAGCTGCTAAAACAAATAAAAACATGCAGATCTGAAATCCTGAAGGAAAACTCTGCATCCTTACCTTCAACTGTTTAGTTCCCTTTGCAGTTTTGAGTCCTATAATTACGTGGCTGATGGTTTTGCCATATCCCCCCATAGGATTTTCAGTCTCACATGGAGTTAGCTCTGTGACTTCTCCTTCATAAACCTCCTTGGTCTCTTTAATCCTCAGTCCTGCAAGGAATTATTTAGGATAGTTTCAACACACTAATTTTTGCCAATATGCATGTAATTATTCTCACTTAGAAGTCCTCTTCATTAATGCCACCAGAATGCAACATATTACTAAACTATAATACGACTGGTGGTATTTTTTTATTTTTCTTCAAGTAGAAAGATAAATGATGGTTCTATTCTAGGTCAGCATATTCAAACCACAGTATGAGAGCAAAAGATGTCATGGGCTGACCTGCAAAGTAATTTATTTAGCTATAAGAATTTATTTTTTCCGACCTTGCTTATTAGTTCTTGAAACAAATGTCAATATCCCCACTCTTCTCCATCCTCAAAAAAAAAATGCCTGATTTGTTTCTCCAAAAGAGGAGATTTGCTTGATTTGTTTAGCTACATCAGAAACAGAAAAGCAGTTCATCAAATTTCTAAAACTAAAGATCAGTAACAGGGAATCTAATGCAGTTTACCTACCCTCAAAAAAGCCCCAAGTGGGTGGGTGGGTGGGGGGGAGGCAGAAAGAAAAAGTAACTTCACAAAAACTTAATTTTTTATCAACTAAGCTAAAAATAAAATAAATTGATTAATAAGTTCTGTATTAGAACCTCATTAGAAAAAGCTACCATTTACTTAAAATATTTTTCTAGTTAACAGCAAAAGATGGGCTAAATAATGTTTTGAGCCTGCTATAGTCCAAATATGACTATTTCAAAACAGTTGACAGTGACCTTCTTTGTAATTTTTTGAGGTGGTTTAGGAATCTAAGTACCTAAGTATTTTCTATTGTACTTCAAACTCTTATAATCAACTAATGAGGTTATTTTAAATTGATAACTAATACAGAGCTGAGGAGAGTTTTATGGCTAGAGTGTTCCAAAGGAAAAACACTGTCATCACTACCATTACAGTTATGCAGAGGGTCCAACTACAAGAAAGTTCAAAGAATCCACATCTGAAGAGCCTCTATAAAGTCAGTATTTTATGAGACACACATGCCATACCAAAAATAATGAATGAGCTGTAACAAGATATAAGGAAGTCATCCTGCACAGTCTGAGGTTATTAGGACTTTATAAAACTTTCCTTGTTTCATAACTTGTCATTTTGCTTTGAAATAGATCAGACACTTCACCAGTAATCTTGAGCTGCTGATAGCCAAATATAAAGGACTGACAAAAACGAGTCTGTCTCCCTCTGCTGGACTCAAATTAAGGATAGGATTTGAAATGTGAGAAATAAGCTAATTGTGAGTAGTGTGACAGCTTATCGGCAAGGAAGGTTTGCTTTTTCTATCCAGCATTAAATGAAAAACTGTTACATAAATTAGTTATAGGGAATTTTAAAATGTTTTTCATGGATGCCAAAATACCTGGCAAAAAAAATTATCTCTGAATTACAAAATTAACCTAGACTATGCTGCATCACACAGGCTACAGGAGCAAGGACTGTGGAGCATGAATCATCAGTAAAGTGCTAAGTATGGGACCTTCACAGGTCTGTGTCCTCCTTGCCCCCTTGTCCTTGCATTTGGAAGGTATTTGACAAGACCCTAAAGTGCACCTATCTTCCAGTTTTATTTCGCCTGAAAAGAATCCCTTTCACATAGCCTGATTCTGTTCCACAACGTAAAATGAAGTTGAGAGGGAGAGCTTAGGAATTTGCTTCAGAACTCTGAGCTGAACTAATGCACTCATGTAGATGTGTCCATAAAAGTTATTTACAGATGAACATGATCTGAATTCAGGCAATCAATGCTGATCCTTTTCAGATAAATCTGCATGTATCAGCTGAAAGTTTCCTTTCCAAAGAGCTCTGTAACTAACAAAAACCTTTCTTTCTTACTAACCAGAAGCATGAGCTCAAGGAGGAAATTGTGGGATGTTTCATGGTTTGCTCAATAGCACTGTGTGGAGTTAAATAGCGCTGGTTTGATTTACTGGCAGATACACTTTGGAGATACAGGGAACAGATACGTTATTTAAGCGGCTACTCCAGCAGTTATTTTTTACTGCAACTGAGCTCTAACATTAGCTACTGTCAACATCTTGCCAGCTGCTAATGAGCTCTATGCGGTATTAATCACTCTCTGTACTTTTAACCTGTATGACAACTCCATCTTTTCATTTCCTGCTGTGTTTTTATGTTTCTTACATATCACAAACTCTCTCTGATACCCAAAGAGTGCCTGGCTGTTATATCACATCCAGTCTACTATTAAAAGACTTCCAACAATAATAATTCTGATAAAACATTTCTTAAGCTGGCACTGAAAACCTGTATGAAAGAAGACAAATACTACTACTGGGATCAGTCTGGAGATTTACTGTCATCAAGGCCAAGAATTTAGTAAGCTTTGAGTCACTCCTGTTTCCTTACACAGCAAGGGGCCCTAACCTGCCAAAATTTTTTGCTTTCAAGAGAGAGGGGGAAAAAAAAAAGGAAAAAAAAAAAGCTTTACATGAGACACTGATGTTAGCATCCTAATCATATTTATAACCTGAGGTGGCTGGACAATGTGAAAGCAAAATGCACAATATGAGCAATAGATGATGAATACACAACTTGCTGAAAAGGAATTATGCAGAAAGATATATAAACTAACCCAGTACGTTAGGTACTGGCTGATACACGAGCAGGAATTTCTCTTGCACCCAGTCACAGCTGATGTTGCAACGTCCACAAAGAATTTTTCAGAAAATTCTGTAAATTTATTTTATCTTTAAATTTATCTTTTTATCTTTAAATTATTTATTTGCCAGGCAATGAAACTGAAACATAAATGATAAATTTTAAAAACATCTGGGAATGTTTCAATACAAAAAAAAAGTGCTTAATAGTACTTAAAATATTTTGGAGTTTTTGTTTTTTAATAAAGGTTGTGTTATGAAAATGTGACAGAGAATTCAACAGAAAGGAATACAGAGTTCCATCTGTCACTAACACCAATATTTATTTAGAAGTTCTTCTCTACTGACATTCAGGGAATGCAGGGAACTAACAATGTAGCTGGCTGTTAACCAGAAGAGAGTTAAAATACTGCTGTCTCTAGGAATGACAACACAGATGGCATAAGTTTCATGTGTTGGTTCAAGTTTCAAAATCTCTGACAGGGAACTTCATCACATCAAGGAAATATTGCAGCCTATTCAGTCTTTAGCTTCCCTCCCCCAAGTCCTGCCAGATTCAGGGCAGCTAAAAGACCAGGAACTACTGAAATTTACTTTCTTATGGAGCTCTTCGGTTGCGCCATTGAGAGATTTCTTTATTGTCCTGCCACCAAATACTTAGCTGAAGTCTCGTGGTGGGGGGCATAATACAGAAGAAAATTACCCGTTAATATGTTCAGTATCAGGATCAATTAGGCTACCTTTAGGCAATTCTCATAAAACAAGGTTCACTTCTAACTGCATTTATCAGTTGTCAGCAGCAGCCACGAAAGAGATTTTAGAAATTCAATGAGGTCGTGTTGCAAATTTAACAAACTTGCGCAAAGTTTATAAATGCCTTATATCTCCCTCCCAGAACTGAGGGAGATACTATGGTATTTATTTTGCTGGCATTAAACTCTCTGTGCTCCTGTGAACTGCAAGTCAGGTTGGACATTGCCATTTGGGAGTCCTTGCTTAGTACAGTGATACTATTAAAAAAAAAATCTGTTAACACACACACACACACCCCAAAAGCTTTCCTTTCAGCTTTTTTGAGATCCACAGGCAAAACCAAGAGATGAACCTGGATGATGAGAGGAGTCTGGAGAAGAACTAACCAAAATAATTGTGCAGAAAATGCACATGCAGAAATGCAGAAAAACTTGCAAATTCCACTAGGCGTGGAAGAGATACACCTAATTCAGATGAGCACTGAAAAGAAGAGCAAATAGTGATGTGATCCCATTTAGACCACTTATAAGCTCTTCTTTTTCAAATTACTGTACAAAACCCAAATCAGAATCATACAAATGCTTAATTCTTCTATTTTTTCCTCTCTAGAACTTACCAATTGCCCTCCGGAAGTTTTCCATCAGGACTTCTGTTTTCTTGATCTCCGTGGAATAGACCTCACTTCCAACCATAGGACAAAAGGGAACTTTAGTTCCCAGTTCCTGTGCAATAGCTAAAGCCAAAGCAGTCTTAAAAAGAAAAAAAAAAAATGCACAAACTGAATCTCTTCATGAGAACCAGGGATCCTTCCTCACAATGTTAACTTTCTGCATCACATCCTGTGTCATTCTAATCATCAATTTAGCACTAAACCTGTTTTGTCTGACAAACCCACTTGTCACTTCTCCAACTTCCCCATCCCAAGCAAATTCAACACATGCAAAGTACCTTTTACCATAAACTTGTAAAACCCTTTAGGAAAACAATACCAGGCATCTGATTTTGACATCTGATGCAAAAGACAATAAGCCTTAAAAAACAAGGAGAAAACAAGATAAAACTTCTGAGGCTTTTAATGCTAAACAAATTTCTAAGAGTTTTCCTCAGATTTGACATTAAATATGTGTTCAGCGATCTACGTAAGACTATTTCATACTAAAGATGCCTGAAGACACCACTGGCACTGCTGATGACTGGGCAAAAATCTGAGTCTCAGGTAAGAAACACTACAGCCATCAAAAAGCAAAATAGTTTTCATCTCCAGACAAAATCTCAAGCAATTATTGCCCTATAGTGATTCTGACAACAAAGTGAATTAAAACAGCTCAGGTACGCTTAGCACCACATCAAAAGGAACACGTTACCTTGCCGGTTCCCGGAGGTCCTGCCAAGAGCACGGCTCTGCCAGCCATTTTCTTGCTTTTGATCAGCTCCACTATAATCCCGCATGCCTATAAATTAAATAAACTTTTAACTCGCTGCGAAGCGCACGGCCACGTTTTACCGCAGCGTTATTAAAGCCCTGGGGAACACCAGGCCCTAGGAGGCGGCCTGCGGCGGCTCCCGCCCCCCGGCTCCGCGCGCGGCCGCCGCTCGCTGTCCCGCAGGCCGCGCCGCGCCGCTCACCTCGCGCGCGTTCTCCTGGCCCACGAGGCCGGCGCCCGCCGGCTTGGCCGTGCCGCTCTCGTCCAGCCCCAGCCCCTTGACGTGGCTGTGCGCCGCGATGCGCTGCGTCTTGGACGTGCTCTTCACCTCCTCGATCTTCATGGCGAGGCCGCCGCCGCGCTCCCCACACGCGGCCCGCGCGTTACCACGGCTCCCGGCGCGCGCCCCGGCCGGCCCGCCCCGCCGCACCCATTGGCCCCCGCCACGCCGCCCGCGCTGCTGATTGGCCGTGCCGCTTGCCTGTCACCTCGGGAGGGTGCTTTTCTTTTAGAGTCCGTCCAGCCGCTTCCGCGTGCGGCGCTTCGCGAGGGCTCGGCCGGGCGCGGCAGCCCGGAGGGGCTGGGCCGGGGAGGGGGCGCCGATGTCGCCAGTGTCGCCGATGTCGCCGATGTCGCCAGTGTCGCCAGTGTCGCCGTCGCCTGGAGGGGACACTCGGCCCCTCTCTGCCTGCCCGGCTCCTCGCTCTCCGCTGTCTCTCATACGTGTCTCTGTCCTGGCAGGCCCCGGAGGTGGATGCGAGGCCGCCCTCACGGCAGCTGCCCCCATGTCCCTCACCGAGCCCTCAGTTACCTCAGAAAACGAAAAATAATTTTTTTTTTTAAGCTTGGCTTTGTGCTGTGTAAGGCTGCATGAGGTGGGAGAGGCTCCTACGGCCACGGGTTGCGCGCCGTGTTGCAGAGCACCCTTCAGGTACCCGCTGTGGTCCAGGGCCTTCCAGGAGTGGTCGTTTGGTGAAAAAAAATCTTCACTGGTTGCTCAGTTTTTCTGGTAATTCATTCTGTTGATTTATACTTACATAGTCTAGTTTAAATTGTAGTCACAATATAATCATACCCATGTAGTTCAACACATTTATAAGGGTGTTCTTGTATGACTCTTGGCTAAGAATTCTTGAATCTAACACAAACCATCCTTTAAATAATTAAAATATTGATATACTGTTAGGATCCTTACATCCTTTTGGAGCATTTTAGTCACAAAATACAAATGCCTCACATACTAAATTACAGGTTCTCTTTTGTATAAGAGAAAAATAAACAGCTCGCAATTGAAAAGCTGCAAGTATTGTGGATAAGTTTGGTCAGAATTGGAAATTTTTGCTAGTCCTAAGAAAAAAATAAGTTCTCCAAGAGTTGTGTTGTATGTGCCACTCCTTTTAAAAAGGAAGGGCTGCTAGTGGGTGAAATAAGTAGCTATTGGTTGAGTTAGACTGAAATCTGATCACTGTTATTATCTTGTTTGAAGCTGTAGCTGGGCCTCTTTCTGAGACTGAGGTGTTTCAGCGTTGATTTGATAATATTTACTTTCGATTATTTACTTCAAGTATAAAAGTGTAGAGGGCAGGGACAGAGAATTGCTTAATCTTCATTGCTTAGAAGAGAAAAGGAATATTTTCTATATATAAAAATAGGAATAAGACTATTCTGCATAAGAATCTTGAACTTTAGAAATACTAATGCAATTTGCAGCTTACTTGATAAAGGTCAGTCCCCTTTAACATGAAACAAAACTGGGCAACAGAAGCGTTAAATATTTGTTTGCTGCAATATGATGTCTCCAAAAGACAACTGGACTAGGGCTTAACTCTCAGGCTGCTAAAGACCATCTCTATAATAAAACCTAGTGCCACAATGAAGGCACAATTTTAGTAGTGACAGTAGAGACTGTTATGAAAATACTTTGAATAGTATTTGCAGTAAAAAGTGGTATTTCACTACGAAAAGAACCAGTAAGCAATCGTTTATTTGGCAGAAGTGAGGCTGGTTTCTTGCTTCTATGTGCTTGAATTGGTATCACTTCAAGAGGTTTTTCTGTGACCCGTAAACTATGAATGGTTTGACACATCTTATTGTACTGCTTATTTACTCATTCCATATGTCCTTTGAGCACCACGCAGAAAATGCAGTTAGGTGGTGGAAAGGAGCCTAAAAAGTCCCTCGCTTTTAGATGAGAGAAAATAAACAATAATCCTTAAGACCACACAGAATTAATTGATTATTCCTCAGAAAGAGCAGAGGACAAGTGGAACTACTGGAAAGCTTAGAACTGAACTTAAATAGCTTCAATGATCCCTTATAATTGGTGTCTGATGTGTAGTTATGATGCATCACCTTGAGAAATAGTGAACCTATTGTGCCTTTTTGATCTTGAATAGCTAACATACTTGCTAGGGAGGCAGAGCGTGGGATAATTTTGTTGCAAGACATGAGTCATCTTTCCCCTTTGACCATGCCAACGAGTGGAACCTAAGTAGGTTGTGAGACCGTTCTGTCCATCTCATGTTATAGATGCTTTGAGCATAATTTAATATTTCACTAGCCAGTTAACCAGAAAAATAATACCTGTCGCTAACAGTCTGGACTATTATTCCCTGGGTTTAATCAACTCATTTTACCAACGTTTCTCTTGCCCCCCTGTTTGGGGTCTCTCATTTGGCACAGACGTCATGCGATACCCGATGTGGGAGCTGGAGATTTGAGAGCTGTTTTCCTAGACTAAATGTTTGAGGTTACAGGACATGGCCTAGTTTCACATAAGCTTTCAAATTTCAACGGGACATGCTGGATCCTGAAACTGTCAAATAGTGTATTATTTTTAGAGTGAGAGAGGGTATGTGTGTGTGAGTGTGTGAATGACCTTTACATTTTTACCCTATCCCCAAAGTCTGACTTCCTGCCCTTTCTCCCATGAGTCCTTAAAAACGTTAGCAATTAAAATGAACTCTTTTAAGGAAGAAATTCAGCATAGGAGAGGAGAACTGGGAAGAGGAATGGTATATTGAAGAGAAAACAAGGAAAGCTGTTAACTGCCAGGAATTTGTTGTTTTGTGGCAGAGGTAGAAAAATGTGGAGGAGCTGGGATTCTTCCTTTTTTGCCACGTTCCCCTCTATATCAGTAATATCAAGATCTGCATGAGATTCCTTCCCTGCCCCACAAAAGAAGCTGGAAGCTTTATTCACTTTTCATGAAAGGAACAGTATTTATTTATTTATTTGTATTAATCTCAACATGCTCAACTCACAAATTTGTAAACTGCTAATCTTACAGAATGTCTAAACACATAAGTTTTCATATCTTCTTGCTATTGGTGCCATGTGTATTCATTTTTAGATGCCACATAGACCCTCATCTTGCAAAGAACTTCCCCCTTCGGATGATTCTTCTCAAAATCAGATTGAGAAACTGTAAATTCTTTGACTGAGGTATATTTTGAGTAGCACCAACAAAACTGTGGTCTCTGCAGCAAACTTACTTTTTTTCCATTAAAATAGAAATTGTTTAAATATAATTTCCTTCCACATAGGAGTATTTTCTTTATATAGAGACTTACAAGTCTCTTTTGTATCTCAAGGAATTAAAATAAGAAGAAACCCACCTGATGGTGAGTCACTTTTAAAAGTATTAAAAGGCTATTAAAGGGACACAGCTGCTCATGTGTGGGCAATGGAATTGATTCTCCCATGGATTTGTCTTCCCTCCTTTCATATCCTTAACAAATGGGACCTTCCCTTTTCCTGGTTGCCCGTTTTTACAGGAGATATACAAATTTATCACGAAGACCACTGTGCTTCATCAGAGCTTGTTTGAAGATGTCCAGTATTTTGGGTGTGCTGGGAGGACTTGGGAATAAGCCCCATGCTAAGGAATTGGTCCAAAATGTTTTTACCTTTTGTGTTAGATGAATTCCAAGCAACCTAATAATAATGCTAAAAAAACTAGACAGTATATTCCTCATTTGAATGCAATGTAATATGATATCGAGGTATCTATGTGGATTATAATTGTGTAGGGCCTTTTCTTATGGGAATAAATGTATACTTTCCCTTAACTCCGCAAGTATGTATTGATATAACAGATTGAGACATTCGGGGCAGTGTTCATGAGCGGTATATCCCAGCCTGATGATTTAACAGGAAACTACTCAAAAGCCTGGGAACTTGGTTTGAAAAGTGACTTTGTGCTTAATTCAGCTCCCAAGACAGAGCTCCCATCGAGCTGAACTTCTCTGGCCAATCTGACTGACCGGGCCGGCCCAACTCACTGGCCTTAGGAGTTCATTTCTTCCCTTTAGGGACATAGTTGTCTCATAAAATAGCACCAAGAGCTCAGAATGCCTGCTGCTATGGGTGTTTTTATTTTTCCCCCTTTTATTTCTCTTATCTCCCCCCTCTTTTTCTTTTATTTTCCCCTGCCCCGAACCCTTCTCAGTGGCACATTGCCGCCTTGGTGCTTGACGAGGAGGAATCACTTGTGTCCCCTTTCAAAGCCCTCCGAATTCTTTAGCACTAAAAGTTGTTGTGTGAGGCACCTTTCATTTTAACTAAGCCTAAGTTTTGGAGTCAAAGCCCCAAATTAAATATGTGGTACTGAGAATAACCTTATGAGTCATCTTATGTTCTTGACTTCTTTTTTTCAATTGTTTATTGAGATGTGAATGAATAAATACTATCAGCAATGTATGTTACTGACTGTAGAAAGAAAATAACACTGCCAGTCTCAAGGGAAGTCCGCAAAAAGAAAGTGTAGGCACCATCAGTCGGTTGGGCTTGATGGTTGGGCTTGATGGTTGGGCTTGATGGTTGGGCTTGATGGTTGGACTTTACGGTTGGACTTTACGGTTGGATGTGATGGTTGGACTTTACGGTTGGACGTGATGACTTGGAGGTCTTTTCCAGCCATAAGGATTCCACGAGCATGACCGTGATGTGCGGGAGGGCCATGACGCGCTCGCGGTGCCGTCTCCTCGGCCGTGAGGGACGGTTGTGGAAGGCGCCATGGCCGCTTTGCGCAGGGCGGATTTCGGGCGGCTCTGCGGGGGCTGCCGACGGGCCCGGCGCCGCGCTGGGCTTTGCGGGGCTGTCCGCTCGGCGGCCCCGGCCCCTCCGCGGCCCCGCGCTGCCTTCCGCGCTCCTCCGCGGCCGCGCTCCGTGCCGCGGCGCCTCTAAGCGCGGCGCGCGGGCGGAACGGCGTTGCGGGGCGCGCGTTGCGGCACGGGCGCTGTTGGGAGCGCACCGCGCGGCAGCAGCGCCGCCATGGCCGCCGCGCCGCCGCGCCGCCTCAACGTCAACGTGGGCGTCCTGGGCCACATCGACAGCGGGAAGACGGCGCTGGCGCGGGCGCTCAGCACCACCGGCTCCACCGCCGCCTTCGACCGCGCGCCGCAGAGCCGCGCGCGGGGCATCACGCTCGACCTGGGCTTCTCGTGCCTGCGCACGGCGCTGCCGCCGCAGCTGGGCCCGGGCCCCGGCGAGCTGCAGTTCACGCTCGTGGACTGCCCCGGGCACGCCTCGCTCATCCGCACCATCATCGGCGGTAAGGGCCGGGGCCCGCCCCGCCGCCCCGGGGTGGTGGGGGGCCCGCGGGGGCTGCCCCGGCACCGCGCTCCGCTCCCGGTTCGTGGGTGTCGGGGTGCTGCCTCCTGCCCGGGCGAGCGGCGCTGGCCTCGTGAGCGCCCGCCCGGCCTCGCCGCTCCTGTTGGGTTCATTCCCTCTGGTTTCAGAACACGCAGGAAAAGGGAAGGGGCTGCTGGTGCTTGGCCGGGCTCCTCAGCGGCTCTCCCCAAATCCAGACCAGTTTATTTCCCTGGAGCAGGCCGCCCTTCTCTGGAGGTCTTCAAAACCCGCCTGGATGTGACCGGGTGCCCAATGCTCTGGGTGTCCATGCTTGAGCAAGGAGGTTGGACTCACTGACCTCTAGAGCTCCCTTCCAACCGCAACCATTCTGCAATTCCGTGGCACAAATCGTCAGCCGCCTTTGAACAGCCCTGTTGTGGCAAAAGGCGCCTGTAGCAATTACATTGCACTTGTTTTTTATTTGCATTCTGTGTAGAATAATGAGCACTTGCTGCTTGCTTTCTGCTGCAGTAGAATGCTCTCTGCAGCGTCCATCTGTGCTCTGTTGTTCTACAGCTGCAAGGAGGAGTGGCGGGGTGCTCAATTTTGGAGAGATGTCATCTCTTTTAGTCTTCCCTTACACCTTTCAGTCACTTCTCTTTCTTGAAGTAGTTGTAAGCACCTGATGATCTTCTCAAGAGTGGTTTGTTTTGGGAACAGTAACTCTCCTGGGATATACTCACAGTGACTTGTCATTAGATGCTCTTTTTCTCTGAGAGACAACTAATCTGAGCTGGGGAAACTTTCTCTTGAAGAGACTTGGGAAAACTTGGAAAAAACTTTTTTTTTTTTTTTTGGTGAACATTTAGAGGTAATTTGGAAGCTTGTTCAATATACAGACTTATTTGCTTACACTCTGATACTTTTAGAAAAAGTTTAGAGCAATTGGTCCCAGCTGTCCACACTGAATGAGTAATAGGCAAAATTTATTATTGAGAGGCCTGAGAGAAGACAAAGTTGTGCTAAGTGGCCTTGATGGCAGGAGGAATTTGTTCCCAAAAGGAATGATCCCCTACAGGTAGCAAATCACATGTGAGCATGTTGGACTCATTTAATCTCAATTACACCAAGTTGTATATTTTAGTAAAAATGCTTGATTAACCTCATTTAACAGCAGTTCTTCTTTAAATATTAACATCGTGCTGCTTTTTCATTATAGTTCTGTTTCATGATACAAAGAAATGTCAGCTGTCTGCTTGATAGCGTATGCTTCAATCTCAATAGGGGAGTCTATTTTTTTACTACCAGGTTTAAAAAGTGAGATCTTGATGTTCACATCTGATCTGTGCTTCTGGGCTGTTCGGAGCTGTTAGGATGTTAATATGGTTCTGTGGCAGTCAAGCCAGAGAGCAGCATGTGCTACAGAACAGGATACAGCCTGCCGTGTTCAAGGGTCTGTGCTTCAGTACTGTCAACTCTTCCAGCTTTTCAGAAATGGAAAGCAAGTCCTTCTAGATTATGATACTTGAAAAATTCTGATTGTTTTTATCTTCCTACTCCTAGTTTCCTGAGTATATTTAGCATTTCAATTTTTTTTTTTTTAACCAGGAGACTAATCCTTTATTTATATGTATACACACACACACTTTTTTTTTTTTGTGGAATCTGATTTTGCCGTCATTACAGATGTTCCTGTAACTAAGGCTTTTAGGTAAAATCTGAGTGTGAAGTACTGTATCTTTGCATATTTACCCTGCACCTCCGTTCCTCTGAAATTGAGCCCCGAGACATCCACAGATGCTCATTAACCTACGGAAAACCTTGAGACGGGAGGGCTGCAGGGAAGGGAGCAGCACGGGAAGGAATCGAAGCAGAGCTGAGAGTGGAACTCTCTTTTGTACTGCCCTCATCCACGTGCAGCTCTTCCAGTGCAAGTTAGAGGTATGGAAACATGCCATTGCGTGCCCTTCTTTAACGCTGTGTTTCCCTCCCTTGAAGGTTGTCTGAGCTGGTTGGCTCTCCCTGGAGTGTCCTCTCCTTTCAGGATTGCTGTCTGCTGTGGCTGGGAAGCACCAGCTGCAGTCTCGAGTCTCCCACCAGACAACTGGCCTGTGGCTTCCCCACCAGGAGCTCCTCGCCAGCTCTGCATGGGAAGCCAGTTCTCTGTTCTCTTCCTGAGCCTTCTCTTCCGATAGGCCTTTTCTTGGTGGTCTCCCAAATTGTCCTCTAGTAGCAGAACCACCTTCTCTAACCGGTGCCTCCCAACTGTTGTAGGGGTTAATTCCTTTCCTGTAACAAGGCTGGTGCAACTGTTTTCAGATTAGCTGAAACTATTTACCATTCTTTAACATATTTCTGTGCTTAGGTAATTCTTAAAGGGATTTTTTTTCATGGTTGAATCTAGTATTCTTGCATTTTTGTTGTATTGCACAATATAGTGCTTGACCTTGGTAAATGCTTTTCACAGCCGTTTACAAGCTTCTGTGGAGACAACACCTTAGGTCTAAATGAATGCGGAGTATTTGAGCAGTAACCAAATGGAATGGAAAATGGAAGTCATATTTCATTCTGTGTGGCTACATTTTTCTTATAAAGCTTGTCCTTGAAAACAAAATATATCATGTGTTAAATCAAGAGACTTTTTTTTTTTTTTCACTTGCATGCTAGGAATTGGAAATGTTGCAGACAGTTCCACCCAAGATGCTTTCTGAAACTTCCATCTGGAAGGTGATAGTCAAGGTTGGAATGGAGTAAGTGACAAGCAGTTGACTTACATTATGGTTCTTGCTTGAATTTAAACTGTAACTTGTTTATTTTCCAGTCACAGATTTTTTTTCTTTTTTTTTTTTTTCTTTTTTTTCTTTGGTGCCTGATACTGCATGAAGGTGTTAAGTTAGGGAGAGCTGCTCTATGGCTTTGTCAGTGCTATGTATTTTACTCGTTTGTATCATTCTTGTGAACAGCAAGTCCAGAATTTGAATTATATAATATATAATTATATATAAATATAGTGTGTGTGTGTGTATATATAAAATATATATATATATAAATTTCAAGAGTGTTCCCAGGCTGTAGCAAGTTGGTTGTCATGTAAAAACACTGTATTAATAGCAGCTTGTAGCCTACTTGCTAAATGGAGAAAACAAAACCTTGAATAACTGAATTTTGATGCTGGATTCTTTACCTTGTCGCACGGTAAGACCCCTACATCTGCTTTACGTTTCTTTCTGTGTGTACAAGTTGCTTACAGGATGCACTGTAGCTGTTTGTTTTTGCTGTGCTGGCTTGGAGGGGAATTCTGTCAAAACTCCCCACCAAGCTGAGGTAGCCTCTGTCTCAGAGCTCTGGATTTTCCTAAACTCCTGGGTTTTGGGCAGTCCCGGGTCTATGAAGTTCAGCGTAGCTGCTGCTATTTACTTTTGGCATAGTAGAACAAGACTTGCCTTTTTTCTTTTTCTAGTTTTCCTCACCTTTGTCACAGCCCCGTGCGTCCGGTAGGGTCCTGAATGGCTTCTCCAACGAGTTCAGCAGCAGGGGATGCCTGCAGAGAGGTTACGTGAGTTAATCCTCCCGCAGAAATTCAATCCCCGGGTTGCGTTTTAAGACCACTTTGCGTAGCAAAGTAGTTTAAGCGGGAGCAGATTTTCCCCTGGCTGCTGCTTAATTTCATGGCCCGGCAAGGGTCAGTGCGCGAATGCCGCCGGACACGGCGCCCGCCCCACGCGCGGGGAGGCCGCTGCCGTGCGCGCTCTAGCTGAGCTCTTTGCAGATGCCCTTTATCTGGTTCAGTTCAAGATGGGCTCTCAAAGAACTTCTCGGAGGAAAGAAAGAAAAAATATTTTTTTTTTTTGTCTTCTGAAGTTCAAAGCACAGAGCGGCCTTATAAGGTTTTAATTGGAAAGCAACTGTCTGACCCTGGTTGTCTAAACCTGTGGGGGGAATTCTGACAAACTTGTAGTTTTGTAATCCTTCTGCCTGGCTGAACCTTTGACCTTTTTACTTTATGACTAGAGCTTCATTGTCACTGTTTGTCCCCGCAGTTGCTTTCAAAGAGAACTGCCTTGCAAGTGTCTGTTTCCACTTTGCCGCTGTGTTCTGTTAAGGAAGGGCATTAATTCATACCTGATACATTGAAGGGGCCAGGACTTTTGAACTTGCACAAGAGCTTGGGGAGGGGGAAATAAGCATAGCAAAAGCATGGCTTGCTGATGCAAATGAGTACAATGAAAACAATCTTGGGAGATCAAGGGGAGCGTGGGCTTGCTACCAGCATTCAAATTCACTCAGATACAGATTATTTGTAAGATTAACTTAAAAGTACCTAGTTCTCCTGAGTTTCTTGTAAGCTGCTAAGAGGATTTGTTAACTCAGGGTTAGTTTTGCACTACTCTTAAAAAAATATACTTGCCTCAGTATGAACTTTGCTTAATGACAACTTTGTGAAGATGTGATTGCCTCCCTCCATCCCATCTCAGGACAATTAATTTTGCTAGGCCTTCCTTCATAAAAGATATTTTATTTTATTTTATTTTATTTTATTTTATTTTATTTTATTTTATTTTATTTTATTTTATTTTATTTTATTTTATTTTATTTTATTTTATTTTATTTTAATCCTGCTGTTGACTCCTGCCACTTCACAGGACAGGAGAGAGTCTCTGGGAGTTTGGATGCTGTTCATAGCCTCTTGTCAGTGGGAGGCCAAGACTGGAAGAATTTCACTGAACTCTGTCTGGTAGAGGAAAGAGGACATCCATTCACCTTGGGAATGAGTTGTGCTTCTCAGGATAAAAGTTCTGGAGCAGGTGCCTGGTAATGGGTGGGCTTTAGAAGGGGAGTAGGGAAACAAATAGGTGATAGTGGTTTCAGCAGGTATCTTCCTACTTGAAGGAGCAGAGAATGTTTCTTTTAATGCATGTAGTAAAACAAACTACAGTCACATCGAATTAATTAGAATATGTAGAGGGGGTGCAAGTTCAT